CTCTCCATTTCCAGCGAGGTCCTGGGCAGCCCTGTGTCCGCAGGAGGCTCGTGTCCGGACGTTCTGCCCCGCAGGTAGCAGTACCAGGAGCTGCCTACATTTCCTGTCCTGGATTATTGAAAGTTTTACCATCTTAGTCAACAAAAGAAATCAAAACACCTTGGTGTGCTTGAGCTAATCATTCCTAAAGAACCGCGTGTCCTCCTGTCAGGGGGAGGCTGTGCACGCCTTTATTATTTTATTTTATTTTATTTTATTTTTTCGGAGTGGAAGGGGGTCTTTAATGGGAACTGTTAAACTGTCACTGTTTGGAAAAAGCCAATTGCTTCGTTTTATTTTATTTAATTAAGTTCATTGTACATTTTAGGTATACAGCATGATGGCATTCATCATTGGGAATTTGTACCTTTACGTGATGTATCTTGGTTCTTTTTTCCCCATTCCCCTGCCTCCCTTCCACCCCTCCAGCCCTTCCCATTCACAAAGGCTTTGTTTCTGAAAGTGTAAATAAAAGGCAACATGTAGAATAGATAATGTGAGTTAGGAAGATAAGGCCAAAGGGGCCGGGGAAGTAGGAAGGGTAGGGGAAGGGAAAGGAATAATTTTGAAAAAAGGAAAAAAACGGAAACAAAGTCTTTGCTGGGTTTTGACTAACTTCATAATACTGTACCTTTTCTCTTTGTGCCTTAGTTGGACCTAATATCCTTTTTTTTTTTTTTTTTTTTTTTGGTACCTGGGATCAAACTCGGATCCTGTGCTTGCAAGGCAGGCGATGGAATCACTCAGCTAAATCCTTGGCCACTGCACCTAATTTCCTTTTGAGTGTTATAAGGTGAAAAATTACATATTGATTTTCTTTCATGTTTTCTAAGATATGATTTCAGTGTTGTTGTGTTTTTTCAATTTCTGACACTGCAAGATACTCCAAGCTAATTGTGTTTATTCCCTGACCGAGCTTACTATCCTTTCTATCACCCCAGACCCACTGTGTGTGTGTGTGTGTGTGTGTGTGTGTGTGTGTGTGTGTGTGTGTGTGTGGTACTGGGGATTGAAGCCAGGGGCTTGCAACCCATGGGAAGAGCTATACCACTGACCTGCAGCCCCAGCCCTTTCCTTCATTATTTATTTACTTTCAAAGCAGCGTCTCCCTGAGTTTTCATGATCTATCTTCTGAAGTCATTCAATATTGAAGCCTGTGTGTCTGATTTATTTCACTTAACATTGTGATCTCTAAATCTTGGCTGCAGCCTGTATGTCCATTGACAGGTGAATGGATAAAGAGAACGTGCAGTTTATACACAGTGGAGTACTACTCTGCCGTAAAGAAGGATTGATGTCAGTCCTTTGTAGGGAAATAGGCTCACCTTGAGACCATAATGTTAAGGGAAAGAAATGAAACAAAGTTCTTAATTCTGCTCACGTTCCGTATCAATTTTTTTTCTTCTGTCACTTGTGCTTTCAATTTCACATATTAGAAATCATTCTAGAAGCCACTGTTTTAACAAGCTCTATAAAGTTTGGTTTCTATGTTCTCTGCAGGAAGTCTTCTAATTTTATATCATATATATTGGGGTATGATCCATTTTAAATCAATTCTAAAATCAGTTGACTCTGACTATAAGGGTTAAGTTTTGGACATTCAAGTTTATTTCACTAATCTATACATCCTAACATATGCTATTATCCCAATATCTGCAGCAAAGTTTGAAATCAAGAAGTGTGAGTCTAGCACTCCCAACTATGTTTTTGTTTTTTTCAGGACCATACAATAGGAAGTTCAGAATCAGCATGTTTATTACTTACAAAGAAGACAATTCACGTTGTGGTGCTAATTGCCTCAAATCTCTGAATTCTTTGTAAAGAGTTGGCTTAACACGAAGTCTTTTGCTTAATGAACGTGATATATTTTCAAATTTATTTAGGTACTCTTTATTTTTCTCAATATATTTATAGTTGTCAGTGCATAGATCTTGTGCTTATTTTGTTAAATTTTTGCTTAATATTTTCTCTTTGGTGCTGCTTATTCAGTTTGTTGTTTTGGAGGCATGGTTTTCCTGTTATTCAGGCTGCTCTCAAAACCTTCTGCTCAAGTCCCCTGCCCACCACCCTCCCTCCCGAGGATCTGGGATGCAGCACCAGCCACCATGCTGCCTGAGGCTTTCGAAATGCACTTGTTCCAGGAATTGGAATTTTATTCTTAATTGCTTGCTTATAGAAATACAGCTGAATATTTATATGGATCATATTTACTGAAACTTTGATGAACTCATTTGTACTTCTAATAATAATTTTTAGGATTAAAATCTAATAATAATATTTAGGATTTTTTTCAGTACACAAAATAATGTCTTTTGCAAATGGGTATAATTGGACTTGATTCTATATAGAATATAAATATACAAAATATCGAGTTCCTTATATTTATTTTCTGCCCAGTAGTCCTGACAACAGCCTCTAATGTACTGTTGACTAGAAATAGCATAAGTAGACACCTTTGTCTTATTTCTGCACTGAGGAAAAATAGATGTTCAAGATGCACATTAGGTGTGACATGAACATTTTTCTGGATGCCCTTCTTAGGTTAAGAAAATCCCCTCTGTGCCCAGTTACTGTTCTTTTGTAATGAGGAACAGGCTTTGGATTTGCCAAATATTTTCTTTTCCTCTCTGGAGATGATCGTGTAGATTGGGTTCTCTATTACTAACTGGATTGCATCCGATTTTTCTAGTGTAAACCATGTCTGATTTCCTAGCTCACATTTCCTTGGCACAACGTGCAATACATTTCATATTTCGGTGGGTTCGTTTTACTAGTATTTCCTTGAACATTTTCTTCTCTATACTTGTAAAACATATTTGTCTGAAGTGATCTTTTTTGTGATGTCTTTATTTTTAATATCAGAATAATGCAGCCTCATGGAAGCATCAGTAAGTAAGCCCAAGACCTCTTACATGTTGCCCCTTGATCTTTTTTACTTCCTGTTTCCTTCCATCTCCTCTTCTCTCTTCTTATCCTCAGATCCTTTTCACATATCCACAATTCCTATCATCTTTCTTTTAGCTTGCTCTTTAAATTATTTATGCTTGGGTTTCTCATTAAGAGAAACCATGCATATTAACTTTCTGTGTCTGATTTATTTCAGACTCCAGGTCAATCCATTTTTATACAAATAGTTGAAGTTTATTCATTATGGCTGAGTACTATTCCTTTATGTATGTATAGCAAATTGTCTTTATCCATTCATCTGGTGACAGGCATATAGGCTGTTTTCAAGATTTAGCTATTAGGGATTTACTTTTTAAGAGTTTGTGAGTGCATAGTATTAATTCTTTAAATTTCTTGAATCATTCACTAGTGGAATCACCCTGCCCTGAGCCTAAAGCTCACAACAAGCACCTCCTCCTGGATGGGGATCCTTCCCAGCTGAGCTCTCAGGCAGACCACAGCCTTAGTCATGATTGATCATTTCTGATTTCTGGCCAGAGAAACTGTGAGTAATGGTTATGAGATTTTGGATTACTGACTTGTGACAGTCATGGAAACCTGGAGAAATAAGAAGAAATCCATTGTTTAGTTTGTACTTTCAAAGGTGTTTGCATTAGGGGAAGATGAAAGACCCATGAAATTCTTTGTACTACCTTGATGCCTTCTGTAAATCTAAAATTGTTTCAAAATGATATTTTTAAAATCGCATTAATTTAATCCTGTGCCCCTGCACAAACACATTAAAAAACTCCAAGGCTTCAGGAACTAAATGGACACCCACAGAAATTATACCACAGGGGCAAACATCATTATGCACTATTCCAAACACAGTGCATAAAATAAAGCTTATATAATTGATGGAAATGATGCATACTTTTTAAAAAACAGTGGTATAAGCAATTGCTCATTTAGTGGTTAGGCTATCACAACTATGCGTCTACATGCTTTGCGTTTTATTAGTTCACTTAGTTCCCACATCATACCAACAGGCAGGCATTACTTCCCCTCCTTTGGAATTTGAGCAGAAGCTCTACAGGCAAAGAACAGAAGAACCTTTCCAGTGACTTGGTCTGCAGAGTCCTTGCTCACATCAACAAGTAGAGCATTTTTTCTGCTCTATGGAGCATACCTTGTAGGCCTAGTGTATGGCATTGCCTCTGTGGCTGCTCGTGAAGTTATTTTCCTGACAGAAACACTGGATTAAACTCTCTTTCTATAGAGATGCATACGCCACCTTGAACAGATTTTGTGAGTTCGAAGTTCAACTTTTCTTTCCTCACAGTGGATATTTCTTCCTAGAACACTTACTCAAAATCCCCTTTTCTTCATTTGCTTATGTATCCATGTGCCTGTTTTACCTCTTTTCCAATGACTTACTTCTACCTGGATGCAGTTATCGTTTTAGTCATGGGCTTTACTTCAGCCAAGAATTTTCCTTCCAGAACCTGTTCTTTTAACCACAGTACTACTCTGCAATGAAGAAAAAGGGTAAAAACTGACATAGTCACGCATGACTCCAATCTTCCCAGAGCTACCTTAAGCAAAGAAAAATATTTAAAACCTTAGAGTGTTGCTGTTGATACTTCCCGTGGGCAGAGCCACATGAGACATAAGGGAGGAAAGATGTGTCTGTGGACCGGTCAGGGCACAAGGAGTAAGCAGGTGATTTAGAACAGAGCTGAGAAGAGTCGCTTGTGGGATGGCAGGGGCAGGAAGGGTGGAGCATGGGGGAGATTAGGTGAGTGACTCTTCCCCACACCTACTCGGGCAGGCTTGATTACTCTCATTGTGGCTCGGTTCTGCATCTTCACTAAAGTTCTATGATAAAACAGCACAGAAGACACTTAAGCTTGACTCAGTCTGTCTACAGTGCCTTTCCTCACTTCCACTATGTTAGGATAGCTTGCTTTACGGGGAACATGCTTTCTTGGCTTGAATTACAACAGTTTACCTGACCCAATTGTCATGAAGTTATTTTTCTGTTAGTTTTTAAAGACAAATTGTACTGTTTCTATTTAAAGCCCCCCCCAAGCAAGATCCTGCCCAACAGAGAGAGAAAAACCCTAACCGATGCATTGCCTACAAGAACAGTGATGACAGGAAGCCCGCTACAACCTCGCTCATTCACACCTGCAAGGAGGCCGATTCTCCAAAAACCAACGGCACCCATTCTACCCTGCTGAACCTGCCATTGCCCTGGTACTCTCACACTCTCCTGTGTACCAGCCTCAAGCCCATCACCCAAGAGAGCCCCAAATTTTCTGCTCTCTGAGCTGACACACTCTCCCATACTTAAACTTCCCTCTGTAAACCACATGCACCCTCCTTCTTATGCCAACTGCCTTTTTACCCTTGACCCATCTGCACCCAGATGGAAGGAAACTCATCACATGTTGCTTAGATTTTACCTGCCTCGGTGGTCTCCCTCCTGCTCAGGTTGAACTTTACATTTGGTTGCCCATACAGGGAGGTCTTAGCTCCCCTCAAAGGAGGGTCTAAGCTCCCTACTTTGAACACCCCCAGACATCTTCAAGCCACCCTGACATCCAACCTCAGCCCTCTTCCACCCACAGCTTGCTGCTAGTCCAGGTCTCCTCGTCAGGTCAGGTAAGTGACACTTTTACTCAACCTTTTCACCCCCTCCTTCTCTGAGCCTCTCTTACCCAGGGCGCCGTGTCTGACCTGGCTTAGGTTCAAATGTGCTCAAACCCCAGTACTGGTCACATACTAGGCAGACAGGTTCCCTTGATGACCTCCTGATCTTAGGGATGCCTGATATCATCACCACCCACACTCTCAGCTTTGGGAAACCAATTGAAGGTGGTTCTTTACGTTTCCAGAAAGCCCTGGCTTCCAGTGCCAGACACAACTGTGGGGAACCTCCTTTCCTCTGTTCCCCCTTCATCCCATTGTGCTTGTGTTCTCAGAAACTTCAAACCTCTTCATATCACTCCCGACCTGAAGTCAAAACACCTCATTTGTTCTCGTAATACAGCCTGAACACAACTCAAATAAGATAACGGATCACACTGGCCCAAAAATGGCACTTTTGACTTTTCAAATCTCTGAGAACTAGACAATTATTGTCACTGGCTAAGAAAATGGCCAGAAGTCCCATATGTCCAGTCGTTTCTCGCTCTTCCCACGGTCCTCTGTCCCTGTACTTCTTGTGACCCAGCTGGACTTCTCCTCTCAACTCCTCTGTCCGCTCTCTCCCCTCCACATCCCACGGCAACGCCTCTCTGACCACTGATCCGTCCTCCCTGAATCTGCCGCTCCTGCCCTCAAACCTCATCCGGTGCCTAACCCACTTCAACCTCAACAGCCTCACTCTGTTCCTGCCTCCTCCCCACTCTGCACACCCCTTTCCATGCCCGGTTGGATCTCCATCCTCCTCACATCCAGTCCCCATTGCCCTCCAAATTCAGCCACTGGAGCTGCTGAGCTTCCTTCAGGACTTCCTACCATAACCTGCTCTGCTCCATTCCCTACTCTCTCCGCTTATCGGAAACTTCCAGCCCGCCTGCTTATCTAAAGAGACCATTTCAGCCCCTTCTCACACTCCGTTTAAACTGCAGTCGGACATTTCTTCCCTACCCTCTGCTCCTCAGCCTCTTCTTACACACACACACACACACACACACACACACACACACACACACACTCTAAGTTCCTGCTCCTTTTCCCTGTCTGATCTTTCCCAGACTAATCGGTGTTTGGGTTCCTTCTTCACAGACCCCACTAAATATGTTCAAAACTCTCAATATCTCACTCAATCTATGACTTAACCTTCCTTCTAGTGTCACCCTTCCTTTTACATTTTCCCTCAAGAAGTGAGAACAGACAGATATGGTCCCTACCTCAATCCCATTACAAAAACAGCGAAGATCGAGCTTAATTTAGAGGACAGAGCTATAGCCGTGCCTAGGACAAGCCCCCATGAGATTTCAATCACACCAATGCCCAGGGGCGAGTTCCCTAAGGCAATGATAACTCGCCTGGTTGAGGGCCTAAAGAAAGACAGCCTACATATTAGTCAGTTATAACAAATTAAAGAAAATTGCTCAAATGTGAGATAACAATCTGGCCCAGTTTATGTCTCACTTAGCCTGCACTATCAAAAAGTTTACTGCTCTAAATCCTGAAAGTCACCAGTTTGGCTCCTGGGCCAAACATTACCCCATCCCATGACCCCCTCAAGTCATGCCCACGTGCGGAAGCCCTCACTGAAAGGTGGACTGTACCAGGGTGGCCAGGCCCACCTCAGGGGTCCCTCCCAGGACCACTCACCAGGCTCAGTTGCCTTCGCCACCCTCGTCAGTTGGACCTCATATGACTGACACACCTCGGAAGTCTCTGATGCCCCTTGGATCATCACTGCCAACAAACCCGGGGTAAATCTTGCAGTGAAAGGTAAGACTGTTTCGTATCTGTTCAGTACAGAGGTGATCCATTCCACCCTCTCTTCCTTCTCAGGACAGCTAATTTTAGACTCAATTACTATTGTAAACATTGACTGCACTGTGTCCATGCCTCTCGAACCCCTCTGCTTTTATGCCAGTGCGAAAAACCCAAATGTTGGCTCATTCTTTTCTAGTCATTCCCACCTGTCCGTACCCACTCGTCCGACGAGATATTTCAATAAAACTCTCTGTCACCCTCACTGTCCCAGGCTCTGCTCCGCCCCGTCACCTCCGCACACTCCCCTCTATAAACTGCATGGGCCTCACACCAATGCTGCACCCTCCTCCTACACCGTATCTTCACCATCCTTCGACCAGCACATCTGGGACATCTCAGCCCCTCTCTTGTTCAACATCTCACGCCCTCCACATCCGCCTAAAGAAGCACCACCCTACCCTGCCCAGCCCCAATACCCGCTACCTGGTCGAGACCGCAGGGACTAATTGCCGTGATTACTTGACTTCTCAAATATAACCTCCTGATTCCCACCAGCTCCCCACTCAACACCGCCATCCTTGCTCTCTATAAGTCTGATCAATGACACCACCGCCATCGACCAGATTCTCCACCCCATTCATCCTTCAGTCAGAAACCCATACACGCTCTCCTCCTCTAGTCCCTCACCCACCACCCGCTACTCAGTCCTTGCCCTGAAAGATGCTTCCTTTACCATCCCTCTATACCCTGACTCGGAGCCCCTTTTCACTTTCACGTGGATGGACGCAGACACCCGCTAATCACAGCAGCTCACTGGACAGTCCTGCCCAAGGCTTTCAAGGTAACCCTCACTAATTCAACCAAGCCCAGCCCAGGATCTCCTGTCCTTTTACCCTACCACTTCCTGTTTAGTACAATATATACCTGTCGCTGTCTCCTCCGCGGCAGCCCTTCTTCAGTGTGCTCTCAGCAAGACACTCCCTGGGGCAACACCTAGAAGAGAGGGATAGGGACCTGCTGTCAGACCCCCATCTTGGCCCCTCCCCTCGCTGGGAGGGCCTGCTCCGAATCCCAAGTGCTCCTCACCTTCGTCAGCCTCACCCACATTTCCAGAAAATAAATGTCCCGCTCGAAAGTTCTTCACCACTGACCTTTCTCGGGCTCATTCGCTCAGATCCCTCTGCCCTGGACTGAATGCCTGCTTTCCCCATCCCTAAATTAACTCCCCAGTTTGAGACTGGACTCACTGGACTCCCCATCACTGGATCAACTCACTGGAGACTGTCTACTACTGCCTAGAAGAATTGTCCTTTCGGGACCCTTACCTATTGCTCCTCAGACAAAGTACACCTGCTCCCCGTTTCCTCTTGCTGAGCCTCTCCACACCACCCGCATAGGCACCGCTGCACTCACTCACCTCCTGCCCTTGCCTCTTCCCGCTCACCCCTTACATTTGCATTCGTCTCTGGTGTCGCCTCCATCACCCCACTTAACAGAAACAAAACCCTATAGTGCCTCCTGCTAGCCATATTCCTTCTCCTGTCAGGAGTTATACTCCTTTCTCTTTCTCCTCTTAAACACCACCAGGATGTGCAGATACACCTCCCACACTCCAAGTACACAGCTTCTCTTTGTCTTTCCCTTCTTATCTCCACCTCCTCCCCGAATGGACTAATTATCATCCTGTCTTGTGTCTTGCACCCCAAGTCCCAAAACAACATACAAGTCACTACCGTGACAGTCCCGGGCTGTGAGATAGGAGCAGACCCCACAAAACTCTCAAACTGTCCAAGTTGCCTTCCTACTTGAATCAGATTGTAAACTTGGCCTACTCCCTGCTAAACCAATTCCAAGCCTCACTGCCAAAAGACTGCTGGATCTGTCTCTCAGTGTCCACCTCACTGACTGAGGGTCTTCTGCCTAAATATATCCAGGAACTTCTGGCTTTCTGAGGCCTCTGCCTGCTGATGCCTGCAAACAAACTAGATGGGCACGTGTACTCTGGTATTCCTGTCTCCCAAAATAGATGTGGTCCCCAAACAATCTGACCTTCCAATTCCAGTCCTGACCCCTCTCCAGAGGGAACAAGAAAGAGCTCCAATTCTCACAACCCTCCAAGTGTGTGTGGAATCTCCAAAGGAGTGAGAACGAGTTGCGGGAATGGCAATCTCAACTGTAGCCTGTCACAACTTTCCCAACAGCTGCCCAAAAGACTGAAGAATCTCCGACTCAGTCCTGGCCTTACTGAAAGAGGTAGACTCCCTGGCAGGAGTGGAAGCCCAGAAGCAGTGTGCCCTGGATTTTTTACTGCAAAAAAGGAAGGCATCTATGTCTTCTTGGGAGAAGAATGCTGTTTTAATCAAACAGGTCCGTGGTCCTCCTCCAGACAATACAAGAGCTCTGAGAATGAGCACCAGGCTCAAAAAACAGTCTGAGATGGGGGAATTATCAATGATTGGCGAGGCATCCTTCGAACAGGGTGAGTATCCTGGCCCCTCCCTATGTGGGGACCCCTAGTCCCAATCTTTCTTGTACTACTGTTTGGACCCTGTGTAATCAAAATTTTAACCTATTTCACCCAGAAATGTTTCTGATCCATAACATCCAAGCAACTCCTTCTGACCACCTGGTACGCCACCCTCCCCTAGCAGCTTCAGGCCAAGCCATAAAGACTTGCCCCCCCCCCACTTTTTTTCTTTTCTATCCACAGGATGCCAGCACTGCCCCTGTCCTGCTCAAAGAAGTCCTGAGAAGTTATGCACCTTTTCCCTTTCTTTTATAGCACAACAGGCAGGAATGGCAGGACCCCAAGTGAGAGCCCTGCCCAACTGAGAGGCAACAAACCTCGACAGACTCATTGCCTGCAAGAACAGCAATGGCTGGAAGCCAGCTACCACCTCGCTCATTCACAGCACGGAGACCGATTCTCTGAAAGAGCACAGGTCACTTGTTGTACCTTGCTGTACTGCCATCACCCTGCTGCTCTCACCCCATCCTGTTCATCAGCCTCAGGCCTATTACTCCAAAGACCCCAAAACTTTCCACTCTCCAAGGTGGCACCCCCCCACCTAAACTCCCCTCTAAACCGCACGCACCCTCCTTCCTATGCCAACCACCTTTGCGTCCTTGGACCATCTGCACCCAGATGGCAATAAACTCATTGCGGTTTGCTTAGATTTTGCCTGCCTCGGTCCACTCACTTGTGCTCTGGTCACACCTTACAGGAGCCACCTGGAACAGATTTACCTGTGATGTGAGGTTAAAGGTCAGAATTTATTTCCCTGTTTCTATATTCCTTCCTGTAACATTTGTTTAGAAATTAGCGTTTTCCGTTAACTTATAGATTATTTGCTTATATATACTCAAGTCCATTTTTACTTGAGCTTTCCCTTGTTCGTTGTTTTATTTCTCTTTTTTGAAAATATTTAGTGAAATATACTTTCACTAAACCAAGAATTTCCTCTCCAGAGCTTGCTCTCCTAATCACAACACTATTTTATAATGATAAAAACATGATAATGTATATATTCCATGTACTACTACAATATTTTGGTTGCATATTGAGTCAAAATACAGATTTAATACTGTAAAACATTGTTCTTGACTTACATCTCTAGAATCCCAGGGAATCTTAAGCAACTCCTCACCAGACTTCCTGTCTGATATATGACTACAGTGTCAGGCCGAGGTCATCCCAGCTGAGTTCAGCCTTTCTGTGAGGTCCACATAGTAAAGTGCAGCTGCTCCCTGCCCATCTTCTGAGGTGAATGTGAAAGTCAGATCATCTCTGTGAAGCATGACATTGCTCAAGTATGATTTGCAGACTAACAACACATTTCAGCTTCAGGTCTCACCTTGATCTATGTATTTTGTCTTTTATTCTGGCTGCAAATATTTACAATTGAGTAGATAGTTGAATTTTTGGTCACATAAATATCATGTACAACCAGATATTTCTATCTATTTTAGGTCACTTATTTCTGACCTTAGAAATCTTTTTCCCAAGCTTACTTTAAAATATTGTCATCTTTTGAAGCTTCACTAATTACTTAATTGATTGAGAATATAATTCTATCAGGAGACACACATGCTAACCATTATGTCTTTGGGATTTTTGGTAACTTCCTAGAAAATACCTTTGGTTATAAAGGACAGGAACAAAGACTTTCCTAGGAACCACAAGGAAGAATTTCTTGCAAGTGTTATTTGTTCCAGTTGTTTCATCATATGTCACATGAGTAAATGTTCAGAAAGGCACTAATATTACTAGGTGGAATTCTAAGCCTCCCTGAATGCAGACCGAACACTTTTTCACAGGGCATGTGTACACCTTATCATATTGTTTTCTCTTCTCCTTCCCTAAAAATCTTTAGGCATTGGCTGGACTCTTGATTCGCTCCATCTCCATTTTACAGAAGTCTACTTGATATTCGGTGAGGATGAGGGAATCTCTTGTGGACAGAAGGCTGAGCTGGAGCTACCCCAGGAGGCTGTCAGGTGGTACATGACGTGCGTGCAGTGGGCATACTGGGCCCTGAAAGTATATTTTCCTTAGTATGTGCCCATGTGGGTACGATTCTCTTTATGGCCTCTCACATGATCTTTAATAGTCTCATTCAACTGCCTATGATTTCTCATGATTTACACAAAGTAATATGTGTGCGTGTTGACTTCTTTTCCTACATAGCAGCAATTTCTGAAGTTTCTAAATACTGAGATATTAATATTCAAAATATGTGCTGGCCTAGCAAAAACAAAATTACCCCATTTTAGCAGATCTTTGATCATTTCTAAACCTAATTGTCTTCTCATTTCAAAGGTTGAGGGTTAACTCTGCATACCCTAAGCAAGGGGCAAGTTTGACATGTTGAGTATGTCCTGTTAACACGTGTATTCAGTCCTGTCAGTCTCTGCTTAACCTCTGCTTATTGGTATGCTACAAATTTGTAGGAGATACATTGTAACATTTATATATTTTAATACCTTCTAAGATTTTTAGTACCTGTGCTATTTTCTCTGCATTTAATCTCCATGGTTTGCATATTTTTTCCATTTTCTTACTGTGATTGACTTCCAGTTTACTTCCACTGTGTCCTGAGAGCAAACTTTTTGTAATGATTATTTTAGGCATATTTTAAGGACCTGTCTAGTGATGATCCATTCAGGCTTCGAGCGTTTTGTGTTTGTTGGATGAAATACTAGTCAAGAGATCCTGTGATTGCTGGTTCTAATGACTTTCACTAACTATGTCCTTATATTTCTGTGTGCTGCAGGTGCCCATTTGCAATAGACAGATATTGAAGCTCTCAGTATAAAATTATCTTCATATGCAAGTTCAAAGCTTTATAAATATGAGCCTAAGGAAAGAAAGAAATGACAGAGAATTTAAAATTATAGTTGCCGTCAGTGAGTTAGGAAGGATAATATGTGATAGGGAGGATGAAGGTGGCAACAGTCTTGCTGATGTCCATTTTATTAAGCTCAACAGTGAAGTTCAAAATTTTAAAATTGTTTGTTTAACCTCAGAATAGACTTAGATTTGAAAGCAGTTTCCAAGTTGCAGCCCAAATGTCCCTTCTCTCCTCGCCTCCTTCCGTTATTTTTCAACCCATATGCTGGTGTGCAGTTTACTCTCACAACACAGCGTTATGCACTATCATCCACTAATTCCAACACCTGACTGAAGTTTGCTTATCTTTCACTGAATATCCTTTTGCTACACTGGAATCTCATCCAGCATTCCATAACACATAGAGATATCCTGTCTCATTATGTTCCTATGGCTGTGACAGGTTCTTGCAAGTTTTTTCTTCTTGCTGACCAAGACATCATCCCTCATTTTGATTTTTCTCATGTTCCTCATGACTGTGCTGAGTTATTGGTCTTTAAATACGAAGTCACAGGTAATCTGCCTTCCTCAAAACCACACAGTGTACGCCATTCTACCTACTTGCTTTTCTTAATTTTTTTATTAAATTTTGTCACATGGATGAGCTTGTGTTAGATTCATCCCGTGTTTAAAAACATTGTGTATTTTTTGTTTTTTATTTTTATTTTTTTAATTTTGGGATGGCGCTGGAGTTTGAACTCAAGACCTTGTGCTTTCGAGGCAGGCAGTGGCAGCCCTGAGCTAAATCCTCAGTGTTTAAAAATTTTTATTCCCTTCTCTTATTTGGGAGCAAAGTCAAAGGTGAATTTCATCTTAATTTACAGGACACAGCAATATAGGAAATTTTACATCAAAATAAATCTCTTTAGAGGACAAGCTTCATACTCTAGGTACAGTTTGGATCTGTTGAAGCATAGTTTCATTGTAAAATCTGCTACAACCACAAAGCACATTTTAAAATGAGAACCTAGAAGATGAACAGTAAGTTGAATTTAGAACAATGAAGAAGTTAAATGTACCAGCAGCCCTCTCCTGTATTGGAAAGTGTAGCTTCCAGGGATAGTTTTGGTCACATTTTGATCCTTCTCTTCTTCTTCTGAAAATGTTGATGAGGCCTTGTCCACAAACTCATTTTTATGGTTTGTAGAGCTTCAATTTGTCCCAGCTTCCACATGCTTTGATCATTATACTGTCTCTGTTTCACCTAGTTTCTCAGCAGCCTGAAAGATACTTGAGATGACATCTAGAAAGAATGACCCAGATCATTTTTGGGTTTTCGGCAGTTAATAGATTTATCAGTGGTTCTATTATATCATAATGAACAAAGTGTACCATCTGTTCAACTGTCCCACCACTTTTTTTAATCTTTATGAGGTTTATTGGTACATTTTAGGTATACAATACAGTTCATCATTAGGATCTTGTACCTCTACATGACTTATCTTGGTTCTTATTTTTCCCCATCCCCCAGCCCTCCCTTCAGCCCCTGCACCCTTCACTGTTTAAAAAGACATTGTTTTCATGTTTTCCTTTTCACATATTTTTTCTTTGCCCTTTTTACCTTTCCCCCACCCCTCCCACTTCCTCTACTCTTTTAGACCATTTTTCCTATTACACAATATAAATTATACATTTTGATCCTTATTTACAGTTCTAGTTTTTCACACCAGAGAAACTATACCACATTTACATATGTATCTTATTTATTTCACTTAAGACTATGGCCTTAATATGCATCAATTTCCTATAAATGACTCCAGTTTATCATTCTTTATGGCTGAGTAGTACTCCGTTAAAAAAAAAAAACTTCTTTTATCCAGTCTCCAGTTGATTGGCAATTGAGCTGTTTCCAAGTTTTAGCTATTACAAACTGTGCTGCTATAAACATGGGTGATCATATATCACTGTGGTATGATTCTTTTAATTCTTTTGGGAAGGTACCCAGCAGAGGGATGGCTGGCTCAAATGGGACTGCTAATCCTAATTGTTTAAGGTATCTCCATATTGATTTCTGTAGATTTCCCAGTCTGCACTCCTACCAACAGTGGAGAAGGGTTCCTTTCTCCCCACAACCCCACCAGCATTTGTTACTGGTTGAATTGTTGATAGCAGCCATTCTCACTGAGGTGAGGTGGAACCTCGGTGTTGTTTTCATCTGCATCTCTTGAATGACCAGTGATGTTGAAAATATTTTTTTCATACTTTGATTTGCTGCTTTTACTTCTTTATCTGAGAAAAACATAATCTGTTCATTTCAGATGCCTATTTTTGAATTGAGTCTTTATATTTGGGGGATCTGATTTTTTTTTTAGTTCTTTATGTATTGTAAATAGCAGGCCTTTGTCTGAGCAACAACTGGTAAAATATTTTTTCCTACATTGTGGGTTGTCTCTTAACTTTGCTTGTGATTTCTCTGGCAGTGCAGAAAATTTTAAAAAGATGATATCCCAATTGCTGTTTCTTTATGCTAGTTCTTATGCTATTGAGGATTTGTACATAAAGTCTTTTGCTATGCTGATATCTTCAAGAGTTCTACCTAATGTATCTTCCAGCAAGTTTAGATTGTACAATTTAATGTTTATATGTTTAATCCACTTGGATTTTAGTTTAATGCATGCTGAAAGGGATGGGTCTAGTTTTAATCTTTGACAAGTTGAAATGCAGTTTTTTGAACATCATTTATTAAATAGGCTATCTTTCCTCCAGTGAAGGTATCTGGCTCCTTTGTCAAATATGAGGTAGCTGAGTATGTCAGGAGTTGTTTCTGCATCTTCTAATCTGTTCCCCTGATCCTTGGG